CGTTTTTTGAACACCTTCAGGGACGGTGACTCAACCACCTCCCTGGGCAGCCTATTCCAATGCCTGACCACTCTTTCATTAAAGAAATTTTTCCTAATATCTAATCTAAACCTCCTTTGACACAACTTGAGGCCGTTGCCTAATGTGGTTGTTCACAGGTGTGACCCCACACTGGCCACAGATCCAATCACCGTGACTCATCTTTTGCTGATTATCGGCCAGATCCAACAATCTTTCTCCCTCAGGTGGCCTCTTTACCTGCTGGTTTCAGTTAAATTAAGACTGTCAGTCATAATCCCATTTGTTGTGGATGCTGTGAAGTGGCAGAAGTGACTTTATCTGCTTGACTGGTTGGCTTTTACTATTAGGCTTCCTGTGCAGCCAGTTATCCTGGATGACTCCGCAGTAGGTGCATGCCGTGTGTTTCTCCAAGCATGGCCTGCAGAAAGGTGGCCTTTCCTTGTGGGCAGTTGCACTACTGGACGGTCGTGAATGATTTCTTGGGACAATAGTAGCTTCTTCACTGACAACAAAAGGGGGAGAATAAAGTCTGAAAGTTGTAAGTGCTTCTTAAGCCAGAAGTACAGATTTTCATATCTGGAGTTTTCACTTGTAGCTGACTTTCAAATAACATGGACATTTTTTAAGCAGCAGAGAGGTAACTTGAAAATTGTCTCTTAGGATGGTCTTGGACTAACTTTGTAGAGGTGCAGCTATTGCCCGTGTTGTTGCCAGTTCTTGGAAAGTAAATTGATATGTGTCGTAACGAGGATCGTGCATTCCTGGTGGAGCCAAGACCATCTCAATTTCTTCATGCGCTTGTTAGTGCAGATGGTAAATATGTTCTTCCTGCAGATAAAATCTGAGCTCTAGTAGATTGTAAAACCACATCTGTAGCCTAGATCTGGAAACATCCAGAAAAATTTTCTAGCTGTTTAGGAAAGGAAAGGAAGAGAAACTTCGTGATCCGCATCTCTTGTTCATTAGGATATGTCCAAAGAATATAGAAGAAAACAAATTCCCGCCATCGGCTTGTTGCTGTTCTCATCTTCTGATGTTTTGTTTACTTCTATGTACTGTCTGCTCCCCTGGGATTGCATTCTTTAGAATTCTGTTTCGTTCTTTCCATCTCTTCCCTTCTCTTTTCTCCTTTGCATGTTAATTTTTCTGGAGTTTTACCCAAACCCTTTCCATTGTATTCTGCTTACGACATTGAAAAAAAATTTCTGCTGTGTTACACAGGCCTGTAGTGACTTGTAACATTGTGTTTTGGTATTATACCTGAATTTGGATTTGTTTAATAATCATTCAAAAGTTGCTCTTAGTGGTTTTATTTTAAAAAGAAATAAAACCCCTTGACATTCTGCATCAATGTCACTCTGTTAACAGGCTCCTCTTCAAGTAATGCGTGCGTGACCTTAGGAGTTTGGCAGTGAACTGTTGAATTGGCACCAGAGGCCTCTCGAACCAGAGTTTGGAGTATTTAAAAACTTCTGGAAAGTGTTTTCCTCCTAGGTACAGTTTTATGGTTACCTTAGTTTGAAAGATGAAATGGGCATTCCAGCTCTTTTAAATCTGTTTGTGAAATAAAACAACAGTTGACCACAAAACTTACTGCCTCTGAAACCTTGCAGGATGATATTGTCATGAGAGAGAGAGAGTCCGTTGTTAAATTTCACTAGCTTTCATAAATCTACATGATGTTTATTGAAGCAGTGCTGAAATTTAAAGACTAGACTGCTTGAAGAGCTTGGATTTCATGTATTATTGGTTGATACAATTTTCCACCCTGATACAGGTCCAGAGAAGTGATGAAAAAAAGCTGGTACAGTAAAAAAGGCACTATGATCTATTATAAGAAAAAATTATCTTAAACTCTTTGAATGTATACAGTCTGTATACAGTCTGCCCGTGTGTGTAATAGATGAATCTGGCCCTCCGGAGGAGAGGTAGAGGGTCATTGAAATACAATTATGACAATTACTTTAAATTAATGATCTCTGCTTTTTGAGCTGGATGGGCTGTGGATGGTTATGTGGTAGGTGGCCTAAGGGATGGTCAGAGGGATCTCTGTTAGCTTCAGATGTGCAGAACAGTTCTTCCGAATGTGATGCAAAGCTGCTGAATTTTAGTACAGACTTTCCTGCTCGCACTATGAGTCATAGAATTATTTTTATCATCAGAATCTTTCCTCTGCTGATTTGTTAAGCTGACCTGGACTTTTGGGTAGGCAGATCAGCTTCCGTAAAGTGAAGCACCTTAAAGGGTGGTTCAGTTACAGAATCACAGAATGGTAGGGGTTGAAAGGGACCTCGGTGGGTCATCTAGTCCAACCCCCCTGCCGAAGCAGGGTCACCTACAGC